GGAGTACATGATAGATAGGAAGTCAATCATGTATGATGTATCTTTCCAACAACTGAAAATCCCAAATGGTAAAAATCGCAAGCGAAAAAGGTATTGTACGCTTTGGCCAATGCATCTATTTTTGGGATCTAGCGATGGGTATGAACTAATCCTGTAAAAATAGGTATTAGTAATTATATGAACCAATTCATTTACTAGTAATTATGCGCTAAATAAAAGGTATGAACTAATTCGGAAAAAATATGTTTCTGATTAAAAATTCGGAAAAAATTATGAACTACTCCGTTTACAATAGGGCCCCCCGTTTACTTATTTATTCAGTTTTCTGTTTTGTTTTCTATTTCCATTTTTAATTTTCCATTTCGTTTTTCAAAACTATAAAATAAACATATGCATTGAGGAATTGAAACACTGTTAGAAAAATAATGTGTATAATGCAATTTTTTTTACTCATAATTAGAATTTAGAAACATTTGAAATAAAACAAAAGTTTGTATAAATGATAATCCACTAACAGGGCTTAATAAGCGACATTTTTTTAATAAGACGCTAAATTGTCTTGGACAAAAATATGACACTAGTAATGCTTTGACTAGTGTCAAATTGCAATCGCAATAGTTTCTCGCCATGTATTTGTTGCTATTGAGACATATGAAATTGAATCATTTTATTTTCACAAACAAAACTAATTAACACTGTACTACATGGTATTGTTCAAATGATGTTTCTCATTTCATACATAGTATTTCTTTATACTTCCCACGCTTTCGTGTAACATAGGCTAATAATATGAATATGATGACATGTTTAGTCATAACAGTGATTTACTAGCGGATATGGCGCTGTTAATTTAATGATGATCTCAAACTAAAAAGGATGCACCTTACGTAGTATTTGGGATAGATGACCCTAGAATCGAGAGGGAATGACGAAACATGGTAATTTTTGAGCAGGTGTTTCCACATGGTGCACCTCCCATTCTTTTGACAGAAAAGAGTAAAACGGAGTAGAGTACTCCGAAAATGAGGAGTAGCTAATGCGTGTCAGGATTTTTTATTTTCGGATCTGCCAAATCCGAATTCATTCCAAAGTGTGAGCTGCCCATCCCAGTTGTTAATACTCCTTATTAGTGAATCCGAATTCATTCCAAAGTGTGAGCTGCCCATCCCAGTTGTTAATACTCCTTATTAGTGTAACGTATGACTTATAATTACATTGCATACTACGTATATTAGTATTAAACTATTAATAATGTTTACTATATTTCATTAACAAGTGTATGTCTTTATTTTATTAGTTTAATATATCTAAGAAAAGCATATGAATATTAGTATCTTTAAGTTAATGGTCTTAGAAATTATTAATTGTTAGTAGTTATTTTATTTTTTGAGTAGTTCGTCCATCCCAAAATGAAATTCATAGTTTGACTTCACGAGTTTATAGGTAGAATATAAAATAAAGTTAGTCTTTCAAAAATGCTCTTGGACGATTAAAAAGTGTAGCACTAAAATGGGTATAATAAAAGGGGTAGTTTTAGTAGAAATGGTAAATCAGTAGTGATCAATAAAACCATTGTAGTGTACTAAAACGGAGTATCCTCTCAATTTGACATAATTCAATGAAGTGACGGGAGGGTAAAATGGTAAATGAATAATAAAAACTTACCGAATAAATGGTAAATGAATAATAAAATTACATTACATTGTTATTTATTCTTGTTCTTGTCAATAATATAAATGATGTGATTGTAAAAATATTGGTAATAATATTGGTAAATATTTTGCAAAAAAAAATACTGGTAAATATATAAATTAATATTAATATTTAAGTAGTTATAAAATAATAGTGGACACATCAAAATATAGTACTCCGTAATAGTTTTACTGTTAAAATAATAGTGGACACCTCAATAATGTCTCGAATCGGATAAAAAATACTTTATCTGATATAAATAGTATAAGTTAGATAAAATATCTCTGAATACATACTCACTCCGCAACTAACCTCATTATTTCCAATCACCTCAATAATGTTTTTAGTCAGGTATAAAAATACTTTATCGATAAAGATATTCTTAGTCAAACAAATTAAGTATCTCTGAATACATACTCACCCACTCTACAACTAACCTCTGTAAAACATGTATAAACATGTATTTTGATCGAAATTCGGGAGACAAACGCATATTCAATTTAAACGACAAATATTGTACGGTTTTTAATTATGTTGAATGAAGAGAAAAATAAGAAAGTAATAAAAACAATTAAGGTAAAAAAACAATCACAAAAAATAGGAAAGTAAAAATCATTGAAAAGAGAAAAACAATCATTAAAAAAAACTAATAAGAAAGTAAAAATTGAGGTAAGTTTAGCCCCAAAATCCTTTTGGTAGTGCTCTGAGATCTATCAACAAATGAAAAAAATATAAATATACTACATACAAGCAGAAAGTAAAATTTGTACGGAGTACATACTAAGTACATACAAATTCCGAGTTCTTAAATCCGAAAGTGCTCTGACATTTTCCAAAACACAATTTTCGGACCTGCCAACTCCGTTTTACCCTGTTCCAGAAAAGCTAAAAAAAAATACTCCCTCCGTCCCTGATTGTTCTTCCAAATTAAAGTGGCACGGTGATTAAGAAAGTGAGAATTGTGTGGTGGAGAGTTGTGCAGAGGAGAGAGAAATGCTGTGAACCACAAATTCTTTGCCAAAAAGGGAAAGTGAAGTTCTTTTTGGGACGGACGAAAAAGGAAAGTTGGAAGTAAATTTAGGGACAGAGGGAGTACACTCTTTGGAATGCCATGCTAGAAATATACACTTATCCGACAACACAGTTTATTGGGATGATCAAATTAAACTCTAATCATTTGATAATCCGTATAAATTTGAACTTAGATTTTTGTAGTCAGTCGACAATTGATCCCCGGGTCTATCGCTAGTTTAGCCCTACCAACCAATCTAGCTGCGGCGATTAGGAATAGGTCAACATGGATCAGAAATACAATTAAGCCGATCATTAGGTCTCGCTTTTGGAGTTCGAATGTGTTGTTTTTGAAGTTTGGACACCCAATTTGGTCGCTGCATTTACTCAAAGCAGCGGAGATAATATTGGCTCATTGTCGGCGACGCCACTTGACTGAGTTAAACCTGGCGGTTTCAACGGGGTTGGTAATGGGAAAGTGCTTTGGTTGATACGCAGACAATAGTGTGGTATTAATATTGCACTGACTTATCAGTGGTGGACCCAGATCTTTCGTTAAGGAGGGACACTATAAAATGGATAGAAATGGGTCAGGTCGAGTCCAATGGGTGTGAAAATGGTCTATTTTGTCTCGTGCAGACATTTTTTTAAAAGGAAATAGTTTATTCAATGTCGGTTCCAAGGAATGTACACCTATGATTTATAAGTCTAGCTTCAACCTATTAAAACAATTCTGAAAAATAATATTCATTTTTTTGAAAGAAAGACATGTCATGGATTACAACTGAATCATCATTGCATTGCACTGTTTATAATTTTCATATTATAAACAATCAAATTTAACTTTTACAATTATGATCGTTTCTAACCGTGAGAAATCATTTCATCATAATTTCATAGTCGTTTAAATGTCTTACAACAATTTACATATACTCTCTGAAGGGATTATTACCTCATTTAACAGTTATACAAAGTATTTTTTTATCCGGATAGGTGGGGCACTACTATTTTTATCTTAAGTACTTATACTAAAGTTCGGGGAAGCGGGGGCACTTGCCCCCTAGGACCCCCCTAGGTCCTCCACTGTTATCATCCGTTTGGTTCTTACCAAAATAGCTTCTAATATTGAATTGAACCCCAACTCTAATAATACAAAATGTGTATGTTGCACATGTGACATGATGAATAATTACATAAATATTGATAAATAAATTATTTTTCTCCTTATTGGAATACTTTTATATGATTTTGGTATGTTTTCTTAACAATGTCAGCCACAATGTCTACATCTAGACGAGTTTCTTGACATTGTGGAGAAAAACTTACCAAAATTATATAAAATCATTCAAATAAGCAAAATTTTATTTACTGATATTTATGTGGCTATATTTTATGCCACATGTGGACCGTACACATTGTAGTATTGGAGATGATCTTATTAATAAAGTCAAAGTGTATGAGTTGAATGTAAGATTATTAAATTTAAAGATTGACATCATACAATTATGCATAATCATATACTTGATAGATGACATTCAGGAATATCAAGATCCATGATAGATGAATGAATTAGAATAATTGAATAAATCTCTTATCCCCTCCCATCTCTTTCCGTATGAGATTCTTAATAGATAATTAAAAATCTCTCAATTATATTGTATTTTTATTTCATAGGGAATAAGCATATAAATAGAAGTAGAGGGGCGGAGGTGGTTAGGGAACCCTATACTAGTCCTATACAGACTAAAACACGAGTTCAACATATCATTAAACCAATTAAAGGTCTAGAACTATATATATGAACTCTATTAATGATATAACCCCAAGTCCCCAATTAATGTAGAAAATGAGTGATGAATATTAGCTACACAAATTATTCTAAGAGAAACTTAAAATGGGTGAAATGAAGAGAAATTTATGAGACACTCAAAAACGAAGTGGAGAAGGAAATTATGAGGTAGAAACAATAATATTTCGTACATGACTAGTTTCCTCATACAATACATATAAGGGGAACCCTAGATGGAGCCGTTTGTTGGATTATTTCCAATTAATATGGCCTAAGGACCAATATTAATATGTATTCTATATTTATGTATTATATATATAATTATGTGTTATATATATATATATATATATATATATATATATATGTATATGTATTATTTGATGGAAATAATACATAAGGGGTACCATTGTGGTAACACCCTTTAGGTCAATAAATGAAAGGTTGTGACTATTGGTTATTTCCCAATATAACTACTCCTCCCCTTGGCATTGAAACACACGTACAACACCATAACAAGAGGAGAGAGGACATCACAAACTCCTTACTATTGCATACTCCATCTATCATTGTCCTAAAAGGGATTACACATCCATTTCCTTAAAGTAATGGCATCATCTTCTTCCAAAGTCTCTCAAATGAACATTGGATACTCTCCAAGTAAGTCTCCATAAACTTACAATTATGATTATTTGTGTGATGTTATTTGATCTTGGTTATATATGATGATTAGTTTTTCCATCATTTGGTATCAGAGCATTTAGATAACATCACCATTCAATGAAAAAGAAAATTGTTTGAAGTGTTTGATTATTACTGTTACACCTTTATGCGAGGCTTTGTTCTCTGAGATCGGCCACTTTTGCAGCGTTTGATGATGATGACAATTTGAACGTAAATATTTTGTGTAATTTGGTCCGATGAAATCATCGTCGAATAGACCAACTCACTCTAAAATCAGAATTGAGTGACTCGACTCTCTGTATGCATGAAAATTGAAAAAGGCGGTTATAAGAATTGCATTGTGACTTTTGATGGATTATACAATACTTAATTTGAATATAAAATTATTTTTTTTATTAAAAATAATCAATAGACCGTCCATTCATCTTGTTTCTTCACATGCATGAAAGGAAGTGCAGAGAACAAAAATGATACTCCCGTATCCAGTAATATACGTAAACTGACAAGCAAACAAAATTTGTTTTGTAAATGTACTGTACATAAATTTGATCCTCAAGTGCTATGGAGTATATTATTAGTATGATTATGAAGTAATTTATTAATGTTGTCTTTAATCCTGGCTCTAATATAGTTGTTAGTATCAAATATATTACCTAGTATTTGGTATGAACTGTTTAATTCCCTTTTTACATTGATTCGAATCCATTAAATAATTAACTTAAATTGTCGGCCCAACGGAAGACATTTAAGTTGATTTGGATAAATTTTAATTTCCACCCCATTAATGACCTCGAATCAATTTTATGAAAAATAAGTTCGCCGATCTACTTAATTTAATTGGGATTTTATGCAAATTATATGGAACATTATACAATGAACCCAACGGCTAATTGTTTAATGGTACATATGATTATAGTATTGACTTTATGAACATAGACATCGCATTTCTGCCCAAAGGTGATATGGGATGCCTATGTAGTAAACTATAATGATAATAATGTCATTAAGTTTAATTATTGGAATTAGCCAAAGCGAAACCAATGATTAAACAAGACGTTTTAGAATCTATTATTTCGGTGTTGATAATAGATAATTTTTATTGACATACTTTATGTTAAATTGTCATTTTTAATTTTCTCTCGTTCAATCGTTATTGCATACACTTAAATTTTATAACTCTCCAACAGCCACTTTAACATCAAATTGTGGGATTGAACCCTTAACTGGCACTAACTTTGCATCATGGAGAGACAATGTAAGACTGACTCTTGGAGTTATGGATCTTGATTATGCCCTAAGACATGATCCTCCTGCTGCACTCACTGCTGAAAGTACTCAAGAGCATAAACGATTGCATGAACAGTGGGAGAGATCAAATCGCATGTCTCTTATGATCATAAAGAATTCCATTTCGGTTGCCATTCGTGGAGCCATTCCGGATTCAGATAATGCGAAAACTTACTTGGACTCCGTAGAGGAGCAATTCAAGGGCACCTCCAAGGCTCATGCGAGTACGTTAATCTTGCAAATGTTGACAAAGAAATATGATGGTGTGAGTGGTGTGCGTGAGCACATTATGATGATGAGTGACATGGCTAACAAACTTAAGAGCATGGGTATGGAGATTAGTGAGGGCTTCTTAGTCCACTTCATTATGACCTCCTTGCCCGCACAATTTGGTCCTTTTAAAATTAACTATAACACTCAAAAGGAAAAATGGAAAATGAGTGAGTTAATTGCAATGTGTGTACAAGAGGAGGAGCGCCTCAAAGTGGAAAGGCCTGATGTCGCTTATCTCACAACCACAAACACTAGCAAGAGAAAGGGCAAGTTCAAGACTGGTGAAAGCTCAAAGGTCCACAAAACTGGTACAAGTGCGCTCGCAGGCTCAACCAATGCCAATGGTCCTCCTCGTTGTAAATTTTGCCATAAGAAAGGGCATTTTCAACGAGAGTGCTCTAAGTTCAAGGAATGGTTAGCCAAGAAAGGTACACATCTATTTATGATTTATGAGTCCTTTAATATAAGTGTTCCGATAAACACATGGTGGATTGATTCTGGTTCTATGGTTCATGTGACAAACTCCTTACAGGGATTCCATACAATCTGGAGGTTGGAAAGAAACCAAAGGACCATTAAAATCGGGAATGGTGAAGACCTCAATGTTGAAGCTGTTGGTACCTTACCTTTAGTATTGGAAGGTGGCTTCTGCATGTATTTATATGACACATTATATGTACCGAGCATTACTCGGAATTTAGTATCTGTACCTAAGTTAAACAATAATGGCTATGTATTAACTTTTAATAATGGTAAAGTTACTATATGCAAAGATTCCGATGTTGGTTATGGTTGCTTAGAAGACAACCTTTATAAATTATGCTTGGATGATACATTTTCGAAATCCTTGTTGTCATATAATATCAATGAAAATCCAATCAAAAGAAAACGAGGCTTGGAAGCTTCATCCATGTTGTGGCATCAACGTTTAGGCCACATTTCACGGGATCGAATGCTAAGGCTCATGAAGGATGGAATATTACCATCTCTCGATTTTAGTGATTTTGAAACATGTGTAAAATGCCTTAAAGGGAAAATGGCAAAGGGAAATAAAAGAGGCGCCACAAGGAGTTCCGGTTTACTGGAATTAATTCATACTGACATTTGTGTTCCTTTTCCTGCTGGGATAACTGGACATAAGTCATTTATCACTTTCATAGATGATTATTCTCGATATATGTACATGTATTTGATCAATGAAAAATCTGATGCACTTGACATGTTCAAAACCTTTAAGGCTGAAGTTGAGAATCAACTCGACCGTAAGATAAAGGTAGTTAGATCAGATATAGGAGGCGAGTATTACGGTAGACATACTGATATAGGTCAGGCTCCCGGACCCTTCTTTGAATTTTGTAAGAAACATGGGATCGTAAATCAATTTACTATGTCGGGTACTCCTCAGCAAAATGGTGTCGCTGAGAGAAGAAATAGGACCCTTATGGACATGGTACGAAGTATGTTAGCCAATACAAGCCTACCTAAGTTTCTATGGACCGAGGCCTTAAAAACGTCAGTTCATATACTCAATAGGGTTCCTTCTAAATCTGCTCCTAAAACCCCTTATGAAATCTGGACGGGAAGGAAACCGAGCCTTAGGTATATGAAAGTATGGGGCTGCCCGGCTGAAGCCAAGCTTTATAATCCCCAACAAAGGAAGCTCGACATGAAAACCGTCAGTTGCTCCTTTATAGGATACCCTGAACGCTCAAAGGGTTATCAATTTTATTGCCCGTATCACACTACTCGCATTGTTGAGACTCGACATGCTGAGTTCCTAGAGAACTCAAACATTAGTGGGAGCAAGTGTATTGATGATGTTGAGTTACAAGAAGAAGTGCAAGAGGAGGGGGGAATGTTCTCTATACCTTTTCAACCTCTTGTACCTCTTGTAGACAATACTACCCTGCCAAGTTCATCTGTTGAAGGTAATGCTGCTCCCTATGTGCCACAAAATGAAGAAACATCAACTTTTGAGGATAATAGTGAAATATCTCAAGCTGGGCAAATCCCCGAAGTTATCACTGAGCTTCAAGAGCCCGAACCACCATTGAGAAGATCACAAAGATCTAGACGGCCTACTAATTTTGATGATTATGTTATTTATCTTAATGAGGCCGATCTAGGAAAATGTGATGATCCGACATCTTATATTGAGGCCATTTGTAGTGACCAATCTACTCAATGGAATGAAGCAATGATTGACGAGCTTGATTCCATGAGTAAAAATGATGTATGGGAACTTGTTGAATTGCCTAACGGTGTAAAACCAGTAGGATGCAAGTGGGTCTTCAAAACAAAATTAGATGCAAATGGAAACGTCGAGCGCTTCAAAGCGCGATTGGTCGCCAAAGGCTACACCCAAAAGGAGGGAATTGATTACAAGGAGACTTTCTCTCCTGTTTCAAGAAAAGATTCTCTAAGGATTGTTATGGCCTTAGTAGCTCATTTCGACTTAGAGCTACATCAAATGGATGTTAAGACTGCTTTTCTTAATGGTGATTTACATGAAGATGTATATATGACTCAACCGGGAGGTTTTACGACTAAGGTTCAAGAACATCTAGTATGTAAACTTAAGAAGTCAATATATGGGCTAAAACAAGCATCACGTCAGTGGTATCTAAAATTTGATGAAGTCATGAAAAAGAACGACTTCTATAAAAATCACGTGGATCAGTGTATCTACCTCAAAATGAGTGGGAGCAATTTTGCGATACTTGTTCTTTACGTTGATGATATCCTCTTGACAAGTAACAGTGTCGATTTGTTGCATGAGTCAAAACGATTACTTTCACGACACTTTGACATGAAAGATCTCGGAGAGGCCTCTTATGTTATAGGCATCAAAATTCACCGAGATCGGGCCAATAGGACATTAGGACTGTCTCAAAAGGCATACGTGGAACGTATACTCGCACGCTTTAATATGCAACATTGTTCCCCCTCAGTTGCTCCCGTTGTTAAAGGAGATGTTTTTGGCTCATTTCAATGTCCAAAAACGGAATTAGAAAAGGATCAAATGAGGTTGATTCCTTACGCATCCATAGTTGGAAGTTTGATGTATGCTAAAGTTTGTACTCGTCCCGATATTGCTTACATATCCGGTATGTTAGGCTGATATCAGCATAATCCTAGCCTTGATCATTGGAAGGCTGCTAAGAAGGTCTTACGATATCTTCAGGGGACTAAGGATTACAAACTGACTTATAAAGGAACAAACGATTTAGAAGTAACGGGATATTCTGACTCCGATTTCGCTAAATGCAAAGTCGATAGAAAATCGACGTCGGGATACATTTTTATGATGGCAGGCGAGCCCATTTCATGGAGGAGTCAGAAACAACAATTGACCACTACCTCTACTATGATGGCTGAATATGTTGCTGTTTATAACGCAACATGTCACGGAATGTTGTTGAGGAATTTGATCAAGGGACTCAAAATAGTTAACTCCATTTCAAGACCGTTGAAGATTTATTGTGATAATTCTGCCGCCGTGAGCTTTTCAAATGGAAATAGTTCGAGCGGGGCCGGATTATATCTCGATACAAAGTTCTTGTTTGTACGTAAACGAGTTGAAGAAAATAATCTTTCTATCGAGTACATTAGCACTCATGATATGCTTGCGGATCCGATGACAAAAGGTCTACCACCCAAGATTTTTCAAGAACATGTGATGAAAATGGGTTTTAGTCGAGACCTCACTTAATTGGCATAGTGGTCTTATGAACAATTCATGTATATAAATAAATACTTGAATTCTTAATTGTCTATTATATGTATACCGTGCGCACTAACTTTGGTATCATGGACAAATTAATATTTATTACCACATTACATTTGATCATTTATGTTTAATGACCTTAATGTCCTAATACATGTGCTATAGTATGATTAGTGGGGGTCCCGTATCTAAATAGATGCGAATGGCTGTACTTCTCTATTATAGTATAGATATTGGGTATTTAGAACACATGCTTGGCCAACTAATTAGCAATTATTGGTCACTAGGCCAAGTGGGAGAATGTTGGATTATTTCCAATTAATATGGCCTAAGGACCAATATTAATATGTGTTCTATATTTATGTATTATATATATAATTATGTGTTATATATATATATGTGTGTGTGTGTGTGTGTGTGTGTATTATTTGATGGAAATAATACATAAGGGGTACCATTGTGGTAACACCCTTTAGGTCAATAAATGAAAGGTTGTGACTATTGGTTATTTCCCAATATAACTACTCCTCCCCTTGGCATTGAAACACACGTACAACACCATAACAAGAGGAGAGAGGACATCACAAACTCCTTACTATTGCATACTCCATCTATCATTGTCCTAAAAGGGATTACACATCCATTTCCTTAAAGTAATGGCATCATCTTCTTCCAAAGTCTCTCAAATGAACATTGGATACTCTCCAAGTAAGTCTCCATAAACTTACAATTATGATTATTTGTGTGATGTTATTTGATCTTGGTTATATATGATGATTAGTTTTTCCATCACCGTTCTCTGATCTCTCTAACGCCCATGGTGTCATTTCCACGAGGAACAATCATGGCCGGCTGCCGATGATTGGTTTCTTCTCGATGTGTAGAAGATAATGGTTTAATTGGTAACAGCAGATAGCTTCTCATCTGTTGGACTACCTCATCGGAGATTTTTTGGTAGGATTAAATCCAACTTGATTAATTTTCTTATATTGTTGGGTTTGTTTGTTCTCTGGCAATTCTTTTCACGCACTGATGCTCTAGTATGTTTTGTCTCCCTTGATGTGAGAAGTTGCTCTGGCGTCCCCACCAGCTTCGCTTGATATGAGGTTTTTGTGTGCTTTCTTTTAAGCTGCAAAGAGAATGATCAATATAGACATAAAAATGTTTTTTCTTTAGTGAAACTTGTTTTTATTTTAGTTAGAGTTTGCATGATTGTGATGGTTGGATATTTGGAGTACTCTTGATAAACAATGTTGTGGTTCCGGTGATTTTAGGCTTAAAATTACCCATTTTGTGTCTAATGAGTAAGATTGTTTTATATAAGGTGGCTGACTCTATATCTATTCATATGACTTATATATGATCGAATTTTTAATAGCTACCTGGAAGTTGTATTGCATGTTTTCTGAATATTAATAATAAAAAATTATCATAAAAAAGACTAGTTTTCTCATCTTCATAACTAGAAAATCTTATTTTTCAGTATTACATGATATATTACTTTGCGAAAATGGAAATTAATATTGTCACCTTTTAGCAGTCACACATAACCGTAATTTATTTAGAAATAATCCACATTTGCACCCCATCTTTTTTCATCGGTCTATGACCGACTTAATAGTAATATACACATATATTAACAAGAAATTTCTAACACAACACTTACAACCTAAGATTAACAACTTATTTAATGAAAAATATTAATAGCAATTAATAACTTTAATGGAAACAAAACATAAAAAAGAAGGTTTTAATCCAAGAGTGAAGAGCTAGCAAATTACGGAGTAATATTGAACGTTTAATTAGTGAATGTTGGCTTGCCATTTACTTTTTAAATAAAAAAAATAATATATATTTATATACTATTGTATATATAGTCTATATATATATATCCATCATTTGCAATTGAGCCAAAAATTTATTATTTTTTGGCTTGAGAATATGATGGAATAAAGCAAAATGGCTCATCAAACTGTCTGCACTTCTTTGTTATGAAGCAGTAGTCAGTCCATGCAATTTTGGAGTCGATTTTCATTATGGGTCATCCAGAAA